GAAGGGGCTATGTGGAAATTATAGTAATTTCAACAGTTAAGATCATGAGTCAGTTGAAGCTAAACCACCATTGAAAACCTGGGAGCACTGGACGGCCGTTTCGTCCTATTGTGGGACTCCTCAGAATTGCGCATTCACGACCCCGCCTCGCGGGATTCGAACCCAGGCCGTATCAGTCTCGCGCCAGGCGCTTGACCAACTAGACCACTGAGTCGGCATCCAACGGTGTTAATGTCTAACTTCAACTAGTCCACGAAATTGAGCGACACATCCAACATTGTCATTAGTGAGTTACTATCTCACAACTGACCCGGTTGAACTCCAATGGTCACTGCTTCTCACTAGAACTCCAGGATATAACTCTGGAAGCCAGTCACTAGTGAGCATATGTCGATTAGTATCAGAAGGGGTTTTGTGGAGATTGTAGTAATTTCAACAGTTGAGATCATGAGTCTGTTGAAAATAGACCACCATGAAAAATAATGTAGATAATTTGTCAAAATAGTAGACTTTCTTTTAAGTGAGACAAAGAATTAAAGGTTAAAGGTATTAAAAGTCTTTTAAGTAAAACAACTGTTAAATATATTTTCAATTCAACTGATGTATCGACAGATGCTCAACAATTAATGGTAGTTAATTACAACAAGAAATTTAACTAAGTTGATTTTTTATTCTGAGATGTAATTAACAAGTAAAACAATAAACCAAATAACCATGTCCCATTGTTATGATGGATTACTGACCAAATTTATGTACAAATAAATTTACAGAAATAATGAAAATAATCTAATGTCATTCACATGGTCGTATTTATTTCTATCCACTTGTAATAATTCTGAATGAAAATTAAGATGGATCATGTTAAGATTTTAAAAAATTAACCATAATGCAAGTGGTGAGTCATCTAACTGAACGCTTGGATCGGTTTCCCAACCTCTTCTAATAGCACCAGACTAATGCTACACGAGACAAAAGGTGCGAAATATGGAAAGAATGCTTCACTTCAAAGTTAGTTTATGTACAGTAAATTTAAGGTATTTATAGCACTTCAGGTGGCCTTGGGCTTTTGAAGAGTTCTGGAACCCTACTAAGCATAGTAACATGATGGGTAACCATCCAATCAGAAATGTGACGCGTGACTCTTCACATCCTAAATATTTCCGAGATACTCCTATTCAACGCTGATTGAATAAAATGTTTCCCAGTGTTTTCAGGAACCGTTGTGGACTTTTGCAAGGAATTTTCTGGGTCACTCCAACAACAAGTGACCCAGTGTTCTATAGAATGAAGTAAGAAACTCAACTACAAACCAGATCTTACATTCCCATATCTAAAGCTTTCTAGCTTCAAGTATCAATTTAGTCCGTCAATCAATACCATTTTACGTAATCGAATTGATATTTCTCACGAAATGATAAAGAATTATTCTGACTTGTATGTGAAATGAAAAATGCTTTGTACATAATTAAACTCTCTATTCATACATCCGACTATCATATGTGTTCATGGTCTTTTCCAGTTTTCATGTACTGATCAACTCGTAGTTAATAGAGTGCAATTAGATAGATCTGAGATTCCAATTTCCTTAAATACATAAAACACTATTAATTTTTTTTAAAGTAAATTAATGGAAACGTCAACTATAAATTATTTACCAAAAATGACCTTTTTTTAATTTTTTTGTAGTCATGTGTACACATAGAAATTTAGCAAAATGAATTAATCTTCCTATATGTGTCACATATTATAATAAAAAAATAATCTTTATATATTCACATTATTTCATCATGAAATAATTAACACCTTATTTACACTGAAATGTTATACATTATCTGAACCAATTATTCTTTCCTCTGAAAACGGAATATCTTTTATAATGTATAAGTTTATGAAATGAATTCAACAGTTAATAGATTATTTGTATTATTAGTAGTACATCAAAGAGAGATGTATTTCAATACCTATGTGTATACACATAGATGTGTGACATATATCACATGGAGAAATCAAGAATCTCTAAGGTTAAATCAACATACATTAAGAGACGGTCATATGGAAAATAATTGGTAAACTTTTCAGTTGTTTATATACTTTAGCAAATATTATCATCACTGTTCACAAAAGAACATTTTCTAAAATACAAGTACAAATACATGATTTTTTTCTAAAACTGAATAATGAACACTGATAATAAGGGAGGTAGATCAAAGAATAAATAGTTCATTGACTAAACATCTGACTCCAGTGGTTTACAATTTGGTTTTAAATTTCAATGACGCAAACCATTTGAAAGAAATTCATTTCGTATTGATTATTTGGATATTCTGTTGACGTTTAGGACTAAAATTGGTTAGTCTCTTATTGATATATGTGCATCCTATGAGGATCACCTCAATATTGCCTTAAGTTACAAGCATTATAAATGGAGATAATGGTGGCCAGCAGTGGAATCCAGGACGAGGGTTCCGTCCCACTTGGGACCCGTCAGCTGGATGTACCTGTATTAATTGCAGTCCTAAACATCAATGGGAAGATTCAAACAACCGATACAAAAATGAATTAAACTTCACCTCATTGCACAAGCTAGTGGCTATCAGGACTCAGCGGCTAAGTGCATAACGCGATGGTATTTGGAGGGAATGGTACTGGGTTCGAGTCCCGAGGCGTACATCAAATCTGGGATGCAGGTACATCCGTCTGACGAGTCCCAAACTTGATGGAACACTCGTCCTGGATTCCACTACTAGCCACCACCATCTCTGCTTAGAATTTGAAAAATTCCTTTGTGATAATAATCGCTCTACTCAATACTATATTATAAACAGATAATTAATTCATTGTTTGTAGTGCGAATTTTTTTAAACTGGCGCCAAAACTTAACTTTAATCATGTTAATCAGTAGAAGTAGTAATAGTTTCGTATATTTCACAAAACCATTAATAAAGGTGAATTTCCGTTATTTTAGATCTAATGAGAACCAATTCAAGAACACATTGCATACATGATAAGTCAATAAAATAATATGTTCTCAATAAGTTTTTTCGGTGAAACTCTACTTTATGGACGACCTTTGAACGAATTTTTAAGTGACCTTGAGAGCATTAGCCAATCAGAAAAGAGTTAGTATAAAGTAAAAATATATTATAAAAAAGTAATGAATTACAATGGACATTCTTCTTTTACATGATATAAGAACTTGTTGAGGTTTGATAAAGGTTCAGAAGTTTTGAGATCATAGTGCATGCGGTATAAGAACTCGTCCATATGACTCCATAATAATCGTCCTCTGGAGCCGTGGTAGGGTCTTTAAAAATACGTCAGCCTAGACCACACGCCCTCAATGTTGTTTGTATGGACCCCCGTCGTTGGATCAACAAAATGACGTTTGTGCACCACAACATGATGCACAAATTCAAGTCTGGAGAGGCATCTATACACTTTCCAGTCATCGGTATAGCCGCAGCTAATGTTACTTGAGACTTTATGATCCAATTTGCAACGATTATCATGGTTTGTCTTAGCCTTAGCCGTGACCGGGCAAAAAAGTGCCAGTTCGAGCAGATTTTTTTCTCCAACATATAGTACAACGACATACAATGTCATCGTGGCAGTCTGCACATCGTGCTGCGGTCATTTAATTGCCGCAGTCACAGACACAGGAACTTCTTAACACTGCCATCTGCTGTAGTCTCTCAACGATCACTTATTCTCTAAAATCTGCCGTAAAACGACTGAACGTCAGCATCTTGCACTGAACTTACCGCCGTGACCTTGAAATTCCTTAAACGCTTCTGATTGGCTCGTCCATAAATTAGAGTCCTACCGTTTTTTCGAATACAACCAGTACAGTACAACGTTATTACAACGAAAGGAATCAATGTTAAATGAATCGATTGCAAAATATCTTCAAGGAAGTTTATGTAAGTAGATTATTAAATAACTGTTATGGTAAAAGCTTAAGATCCAAGAATTTAGTCCACTCGAATTAACTGACAAAAGATGAACAAGTAACTAATGTTCACGATAACCAATTCAACGATACAGAAGACCTTCGAATCAACTATTGAAGATACATGGAGGCTAATGATGAGGTTGGAGATTAGGAAGCCACAACTTGGAAAGGCCACATTTCCATTACTACTAAATCATCAGTTTTACCTATGTGAGATAAAAAGAGATGTTGATAGAGGTAGGCAAATTAAAACAGAGCAATCCATATTCTAAAACGGGCAGATAATGTTTACATCAATTCCTAAATACTGTGCTACAGATGAATATTGAACTAAAGAAATTTAGGAAGCTATTTGCACAACTTCATTATTTGGAGTAATAAATACACAAAGGTGCGGCTGCAATTCTGTAATCACAAAACATTTTTGCAATCTGTTGTATGATAGCTAAATTTTTAATGAAATCAAAATAACTTATTCATCAAACACCTGATACGAGACAAATTCTAGGCATGGGGGCCAATGATTCTATCCGGTTGCCCAAACCAATGCTGTTGTAACAGGGTTCGAATCACAGACTTGGTGGTGGAAAGTTGAACGCCTTAGCCATCAAGCCACTGCTCTATTAGAAAAAACCTAATACGTTGGTGAACTAACGTAAACCATAGATCTGCGAATTGTCAAGATAGGGAAAATGATATGATAGAACATGTACGGCGCTGGATAATGAAATCAATTTTAAAATCACACTTTTTTACCTAACATATTTAATAAACTTAATTCGAATAGCACAGATTGTCTATTTGACCAATCTGACAAGGAATTTCTACGTGAAATGCTATTAAGCGTGGGGAAAAACACGTAATTTGAGAAAAATGGCTTTTATTTAATGGTCGGAAACACTGATGATAATAATAATAAACACAAGAATGATGACATTTAAAAAATGTAGCTATAACAGATAATCACAATTGTATACATATATAACACTTATTTTCTTCTACATTTCACGCTTCTTTACTTCCAACCCCACAGTGTACATTATAACTATTAGGCTCTCATTTCACAGTAAACTGAAGTAAATGCTGTTGACAAAATAGGATGATGAACATATTCATCACTCTGTTGATCATCGTCAGAGAAATCAAAACTACCATATCCATTAGTCGTAATACTAATGTCTATATCTAATTTATTATTTTTATCATTATTATTTATTAATAAATCACTGTTATAATTATTATGATTATCATCATCATGATATGTTGATATTCCTGAAGTTGTTTCACTAATTTCAGTACGATCATCATGTTCATTGATTTGTAATTCTAATAAATTCACTAATTCTGAAAATGATAATCGTTCTTTTGGATCAAACTGCCAACAGTTACACATAATTTGATAAATTGTATTTGATGCTAATAATGGTTTTTCATTACGTACACCTGATTGAATTGAATGTATAATTCCTGTTACATTAATATTTGGATATGGTGATGAGCCAAGGGTGAATATCTCCCACAATAGTATACCAAATGACCAGCTAATAAAGGAAAATTTTGAAAAAAACTTATATTAATTTGTCTAAGTTTTAAGAGCAAAAAAATCTTGTGTTTCACGAACTGTGAAATGAAGTACAAAAAATAACACCATTTTGAGGTATTATTTGGTTTGGACAGTTATTCGGTGACCTATGAAAACTGTATGTTTCACAATTCCCCACAATTCATCAAATAACCTCTTATGGTTATCTTCGTCATTGATATACTGTATTTAAGCAATGGTATATTAGTAGAATAATAATATTATCTATTGGCTAGTTATTTATTCTTTTGATAACAGTTTATTCTAATGGAATTTGGAATCGGTCTCATGAATAGTTTTATTAGTCGATGATATCGTATCACTTCAATTTTAAATCACTTTCCTTCATAACAAATATCTTTCTATAATGGAAATATATTAAAAGGTGAATTACCTTTGTTAATCCGACTTGTTTATGACTGACTGATAACTTATTAAAATATCGCAATAATGAATAATGGTTAAATCAAGGTAGGTACAATATGAGTGATTTATGATTAGTTTACTAAAATACATTGAGTGATGGTGAAGTACAATTAATTATTGACTGGAAATGTGAATCATATAGAAATCGTGATATGATTTCAACGCAAGTTACAGAAAAATCCTAACTTATTTAGTAAAATTTGTTAAAACGACTTGATCAACTTCTTCTTAGCTTTAAATAACTTATGTATACTGGTTGATTATTGGATATTTGCCAATATCATGTATGTCTAGTTCCTAGTGTTGATCAAATTCTGTTGACAAAATTTCAATGTAACCACTAGTCTACTTAAGTCGATAATACAGTACGCTTTATTTAAATTTTAGTTTTTTAAAGGTAGACGGTCAGCAAGAAAGTCATGTATCTAGGTTCCGTGTCATTTTACACTTGTCAATACGATTTATCTCAGACCATCAGAAAGTTAATGCTTTCTGTAAGATTTGAATTTGCTATTTCAAAGTTTCTTGTTGATCACTTTCAATTATATTAAATCCAGTTATCTCCTTTTTATTTGATTTAACTAAATTATCAATATAGAATTACGCGACAACTTCCTATATGATCCATTTACTGTACTATCAATTTCAAAGAGACTGTTATAGTTATTTATTTATGTCAATTTATGTCAATCATAATCCCATCTAAAATATAAACAATAATGAATTTTGTTGTTGTTGAAGAAACAAATTACTTACAAAAGTCCAAATTACAACTATTAACAAATCATAAGCTTTTAAGAATGACATTCTTAACTCTGTGCATACATAATACATTCTGTATATAAGAGATCAATAAGCTAATGGAATTCATATAGTATTTAACAATAATTATGTGTCAGTTAAATAATGTAACAGGAAAGAAAGAAAAGGAAACCAAATTTGAATAGATAAAAGAACTAGGATAGAAAGTAAACACAATATTTCTTTTTCTGAAAGAAAATAACACAGTCAATACAGCCGACCAACTAGGATCAACTTTGAAGGGTGTTTCATTAAAGTTTTCAATTATTGATTTCCTTTTATTTGATCATATAATAAAATGAAATACTATTGCACAATTTTAGACTGATCGATAACAGACAGATAAATAGAGGAATATATAAATATAGAGAGAAAAAAGAAGTACATTACAACAATAAATGTACCAATTCAATTCATAAAATTATACATTTAGGCACAGGTAGAAGAAATGAACAGAAAAGAGGAATTAAATTATAAAAAATGACAGTGGTCAATAAAACGATTTCAATTCCAGTAAAAAGAAGTTTGTAAATGTTTAGTGTATGTAGCATAATAATGCATAATTACTTTTAATTCATTCTAATCAATTGTACATTTATATCATTTTTATAAGGAAAATTATAATTGTCCATTTGGACTGAGTTAATTTTTCAGAACTGATATGTACCATACGGTGTATCGTTGAATTATGACGACCTATTTGGTGGCCCTATTATCCCAGACAAAATAGTGAATTTGTGGTATATGTTTTAACCAACTATCAGTTTATATATGTTCAGGAATTTTCATTTCCAGTCAACTTTCCTTATCAAATAAACATGAAAACTTTACATTGACAATTTAACGTTCCGAGGTTTATTATAGATTTCATAACCTATTGTTGATTTCTAGACTATGGAGAAACAATTACTCAATGTTCTCTGTATGTCCATATTAGCTCTCCAACTGATGTCGGTTAGTGACAAAAGCAAACACGAAAAACTGTAAGATTCTCTACAGAATTCCTAACTAAATAATATTCATATAACTGTTTGCGAATGACTTTTAAATGTAATTTTCAAAGTTATGATGTGAAGATGTAAAATACAAGCTCAGCTAAGTCGAGGTTATCAGCTACTGTGTATGAGGATCGCAAATTGATTAAGGTTGCAAAATATAGACTACTGGATTCTGATAGTATTGCACTAACCACAGGACCTAAATGTCCTGGGATGTAATCCTTATGGCATTACTAGTGTATACCGTTAAAGTTTCCAAATAAGACAAAAAACGACCTTTTGTATCCTGGGACCCCAAATGCCTTGGTACGGTCGAGAGGGGGGAGAATCAGCTCTCCCTCTCAAAATGCTCTCATATGGCCACGCGTACACAGCCACTCGATGCCTTCTCGCCCGATCGTTGCTGCTACCTTAACGTGGTGGTCGAACTTGCCTATTGTAATGAACCAATCAGGTTATACTGGCTGGAAAAATTGTTCCTCAATTTCCTACCATCCCACACAAGTCGGTTGAAGAGCACTAAGAATAAAAGCAACAAATCCGAGGTCCGAAAGCGAAATCGTACTGCTCACTGTACAGAGGTATGACAGCAGTAAGGTGTTTCCTACAGATAACCAGCATAACGGCGATGCCGCCTTCCCACAAAGAGGGGTGGGGTTAGGAAAGGTCGACCCTGAAAATGCACACCTCACCTTATCCCACGGATATCCGTCTCTGGCGGTAAGGTCTCAGCAAGTACAAAGCTAACACGAAAATTACTCACAACAAGGCCGTGTGTGACCGACCTCAATCAGTTGTCCTTTGGGCATTGTGGTTACACTCTCAGGTCACTATGACCACCTTTAATCAAATCTCATTTTCATGTACCTCCAGAAGAACCCTTCCACCGTGTGGGCAGCCTGGAAGTGATAACCGCCCTCATACCTATAACAGCAATCAAGATCACTGTATTTATAATCAACCTCACTCTTCAATCCCTACTATTTCTCCTACGTTGACTGTCAACTCTAAACTTGCTCTTTTGAATTCCTCTTCAAGTGCCACCATAGCCAACGATTCTAGTGCTCGAAACACTGTCTCAGGTCTACTGAAACCTCGCTACAAACTACACATTGGAGCCTTCAATGTACCCACACTATGTCAAATCGGTCAGCAGGCTTCCTTCGCTAAAACCCTACAATCTCGTATCATTGATGCATGCTGTGTCTCCGAAACACGCATACAGAATCCTAGTGTGGTCATTCACTTGACCTCACCTCGGCAAAACGGAGAGCTAACAATATACACCCTCAGTTTATCTACTGACTCGACGGCTTGCTCTTGTGGACTGGCAGGAGTAGGCATAGCACTAAGCATGAGGGCGGAACAAGCACTAATAGAGTAGATCCCCGTTAACAGTCGCTTATGTGCTGTCCGGCTAAACGGTTCCGTAAGAACTTGAAAGGATAGGGACACATGTCGTTGCCTTTTCGTCGTTCAAGGATTCAAAAACCTCGTTTGGCTTTTGGCAACTTACGTCATCTGTGGAGAAGGCCAGATATCCGTCTATCAATAAAAGGACGAGTATACTGTGTGGCAGTTCGTTCTGTTCTACTTTACGGCTGCGAAACGTGGCCATTAAGAATAGAGGATATTCGTAAGTTACTAGTATTTGATGACAGATGTTTTAGAAATATTGCCAGCATCACCGGATAAGTAATAGTGAGGTTAGACGCCAGGGTATTGGCGGATAGTGCTAAATCATTTGGTGAGGTTGTAAATCTTCATCGACTGAGATGGTTGGGCCACGTGTTACGCATGTCCGATCGCCAACTACCACGGCACTCAATGCTGACCAGTGTTGGAGACGGTTGGAAGAAAGTTAGGGGCGGCCAAATCAAAACGTGGCATCAGTGCTTAAGGTCACTAACTTCTAGTCTGAGGCATGTTGGTAGATGCAAATTACTTGGTTGGGGTTCGCGTGACTATCGTAACCAATGGTTAGAGACTCTTGGTGACATGGCTCAGAATCGATCATAATGGCGTAGGTGTATATACTCTTTGTCTTCCCTTAAACCGTGAAATTAAGATCATTTTATACCTTTATTTCTACCAAAGAATTCTTTCTTCCTGTATTGTACTTTCATAGACAATTTTTCTTTGATATATTACTACCATTGAAGTAACCACTTTTATGAATTTGGTATTCATCTTGTTGTGCTAATGAAGTATGGCAACTTGGATCCATGCATATATGTGCCTGGTCCTAAGTTATAGCTGAATGACTGACTGACTTCCCGTGGTGGGGTTGTTATCTGCGAAACTGAAAGGACGAAAAGCGAATGTCCGGCGCTTTAACTAATTTGGTGGGGACGGAGGTTCCACCTAGGGGAGTTGGAAAACTGTGATTCCAAAGTATTGGTGCACGTGGGCTCCAGGATCCTGAGGAAACAAATGGCATATGAACCTATTGTTGATCACCGGCTACCATGGGACTGCATCTCCTAACGTAGTTCGATTGCCTTGTGGATTAGACCCTTACGTCAAGGGCTCGGGGTGTGGCCTCCTAAGAAAACCACCTGCTTCGGTCTGGGTGCCCGGGCAGTATTCCACGCAAAGTGAATCATTTGTGTGGCGCATATATGTTCGGTGCCTTCTTGTACTAATGTTTATGTGTTTAAATAATAATAATTTCCTAACTGATGTCAATAGGTGACGAAAACCGCCCATAAAGTATGCATGGTATCACATATGTTATCCAAATACACTATGCACTCATCTTTCTGAACAGTGGCGGTGTTAAAAAGATAAAAGACAAAGGCCTAAAAACCAAACGTAAAGTTTTAATACTATTGGTTACTTTTTACTCACTCCAATAAGTACATCTGAACGCTTAACTGTGCACACAAATACGTATAAGAACATCTATATATTTTTGCCTGATGACTTTGTCCCACTAGCTCCAGGTGCTAAGTTTTGCTTCAAGACATTTTTATATAGATGTATAATGACTTATACACATTAATATACTTGACATTCATTTCACTAGCTAATTAGTCTGACTCCTCGCTTCGCCTTGGTCCAAGTAAATCTTGTGTAAAACTATTTAGTGTCGTGACTTACTATTATACCGTGGGCAAACGCAACAGCTAAGTATATTAGTCATATGGAATTAATCTGGAGAATTAAATAATAAGAATCGAGTACGCCAATATGCAATACTTCACAAAATATCTAATTTCTCAGTATCGCATTGAGCGTAATAGCTCAAACAACAGTATTTATGATGGAAAATATTCACTTTCCATTAGCTTTAAGGAGTATCAAGTCACATAGGATAGCGCTAAGCTATTCATAAATCACTGAATTCGTTTATTTAGTTGTACTCAACTGTAAGTCTCGTTATATCTCAACCTTACAAAATGTATCATTCATATAAACCGGAGTTTTATTCAAGTACTATTTAATCTTTTTTAGTAACCAAAAACCTAATAAATAAGTTATCTAGGTTAAACAGTTTGTCAACAGAATTTAACTGGGTTCTAGTAATATAACTGAGTTGTAGAGACTAAAGTGAATCGGTGTGTCATATTTATACTATTTCATATAATTATATTACTTATGAGTAACTGCTATTTCTCTCAACATTTTTCCAGGTTTCCTGTTTTTTAGGAATCAATGTTCGCTTGACTATGTCGAAGGGGATTTTTTATTCGTTCTTTATACCTGATATTCAATGCTTTTTTAGTTTTATTAACTCGAACGCCATGTACGTATATTTTTCATACAGCCAAGGTATATTTATAACTTCGTTCGACATTGGGTATGTATTCATCATTGGTGAAATTGAAAGGAAACAAACATGGGGAAATGCAGAACTTGAATAATTATAGTTCGACGAATTGATTCACATACTTCTAAGGATTCTTTCGTCAGACAAATAATGCTGTTGACTGATCTCACATTTATATACTCAACTTTTAATCCATCAGTTTTTTATGCACTTCTTGTTAATAAAACAACATATTAATTAGCTTGAGATAAAGTAATTTAGCTTTCTAGATCTAACTGCATGAATTTATTTTGCAAACACTTATTTTGTATTATGACCAAAATTAAGCCATAATGACTAAGAGGCAAAGTTCTTAATAAAACCAGGTATGTCCTACCTCTACTGATTCCTTTCAAAAATTTAATATCAAGGTAAATCCAAATCCGTTACAATTAGTTTGTTATTTACTTGTTTAGTGGAAATAGGTTGTACCATATAGTTGTCAGACTTCACGCACAAGTACTTTGATCCATTAACTGAATACAACATTTTGATTCATAACTGTTTGTGTCAAGGTTAATGATATCACCAAGTCACTTATCCATACTCACTACTAATCCAATAATTTTGTTTGCTAAAATCATTGTTTCGACTAACAAATTCATCAAGTAAACGAATACTAATATAAATACAGAAATAAGTCAATTTTGAAAGTTTTTATTAGATGACTTACACGTCCGACTTAATTGTATAGATTTTATCACCTAGAGATTCCGGAGCTAACCACTTTAAAGGAACACGACCCTGTTAAAAGCAAATCGTAAACAAAAAAAGTGTTAAATTTTGAAATAACAAATTAATTTACTTTCTACATTATAACCTATTACATTCTATATCCCAATTCAGTTTTTAACGTATACTCTCAAATTCATTACTAACTCAACTACTCAGAAAGAGTTGACTGAGATTGACTGGATAGTTATTCTTATTGCTAAAGCTGAATGATAATGTCAACAACCGTTTCGTATTTATATAAATTGACACTGACGCGTACACAAACATTCATGCAATCATCTTGATCAGATGAACAATAAACTTACTAAACTCTCTCCTCTCGCATTATATGGAAAGCATTTGTGTTCACCTATTCCAATTGATATAAGTAGCATATCCTCGACACAATTATAAATTTAATTTTCTTAGTAAAAAAACATTTCCATTGAAACTATCTAGCACAAAACTTTGATCACATTACAACAATGTAGCATTTTTTTTCAAATTATATGTGTGCAGTTAACCTTGATGATAGGTTAATTCCGACATGCAAAACAGGTAACGAGTGAATGAAAAAATACTTTAAAACTATTTTAACAAGTAGTATGACTGACTCGCGTAAATTAATCTAAACGAAGTTTATTACAAGTAATTAGGACAATACTTTCATTAGTATAGGGGGCTTTATCAAGATTGTTGATTTTTCCGAGTTTATATCGAAGACTGATCTAAGTTGGACAATCACTGAAAACCAGGGAACAAAAGAGCTGTTCAGTGCTTTTTTGAGACTAGTTCATTATATAAACTACAAGAATTTCGGTTATATGGTGACAACAGTTGAAGAACCAATGGAAACAAATGAGTACTGGACATTTAATTTGGTCTGGTTAGAAATGTTTACTAGGTCACACGAAATAGTTGGAAAAATGTAATGTTCATTAGAAAATAAGGGATTATTTTATGAAGTTACCAACTCACTACCTATGCAATATAAGTAGGTGAGGTATTTCTGACCGGTATATATGAATCAACGTTAAGTATTATGGATGGTATAAGTTAATATCAACTTCAATAAGGGTTGTGGACATTGTTGAGTTTTAGTTATAACCAGTGGAGTTCAACCATGTCGGATATGAGGCATTTATCCACCGAAGACAATAGAAGATGATCGAGCAATAGCATGGATTGGTTGAAGTTAGACATTAACACCAATGGATGCAAGGTCAGTGGTCTGGAGGTTAGGTATTTGTGGGCGAGACCGAAAGTGCTGAGTTCGAGTGCGGCGCGAGAGACCATGGATGCGCATTGCTTAAGAGTCCTATACTAGTACGAAACGGAAGTCCAATGCCTCCAGGTTCTCAATGATAGTCTAACACTAGTCGGCTCATGATCTCAATTAATTTAAAATCATTGGTTGGTGGATACTCACATTTTTCACTTTACGATAATAATTCTCAGCAAATCTTGTAAGTCCAAAGTCAGCAATTTTTAATTGATAATGTTTACCAACCAAAATATTACGAGCAGCTAAATCACGATGAATAAGCTGTTTTTTAGATATAAGAAACAAAAACAAAAAACGATGAATATAATGAAATCAAAATATTAGGCGGTTAGAAAAAGCCGACAGAAAACTTTGATTGACCTAGGTTTTTGTGTTATTTGACACTCATCACCAAGGTACGCTTATAATCATTAGGGAACTGGTGCTGCCTGGCGAGTTTGATCCCATCATCCAACTTTGCAGTTCACTTGACAAGATTAGTTAGCTCCCTCAAGATTGCTGGTACACCTTTCTGATGAGTCCCAAATCGAGCAAAACACAGGTTAAGTAGGACTTTTTTTATCAACTACCTCCAAACAATTACCATCTCAACACTGCACGCAATGTCGAGTCGCCTAGATTGGTGACCGCACTGCAAATTGATCGAGAAAATTCGATCAAGACCGAAAAGGACTAGACAAATGTGACATTGGTGACTACTCAGTGGTCGATCGCAATAACCAAATTGAATTTAAGTGTAAATAACACTAGCTTGTAGTGTCTATTAATATATATCAAGTCCATATAGGTATTCTTGCTTCCGGACAGACCAATTTGTTAATTCTTCTTGAGTCACATTTTGACCTTGTGAATCATTCGCTTATAGCCTAGACCGTTTTTATAAGAACGTATGTATTCGCTATTCACCATATGTCGAGAACCTATTTTTGTCCGTATATAAATACTGAGTCACGAATTATCAAATGGGGTTGACACGATTTCCTTCTCCGGTATGATTCTCTTTCCCACCTCTCATTCTTAATGTCTGTATGATTGAACGAGTTCCTGAAATAAGTTTATCCAACTAAACCCATATTTGAGTGCTTATTACCCCCCGTCACACAAACGGGGTTAGCTTAAGTGTAATGTACAGAGTTAAATGAAAGATATGTAGTGATGGCATATGTTATATCCTAGTAAAGATTAAAGTACGAGTAACTTCTGAGACCTATTAATGGACTAATATTATCTATATGTTCTTGTGGTACAACTATTCAGTAACTAGATTGTATATATCTATATTCCCTTTATTATAAGCTTTATTTTGACTAACAGATTATTATTGTACGATTTACTGTTCCTAAGTTATACTCAGTTCACTAATTACTGTCTCCCACGTTCACAGCCACTTTTCGGCTTTATTGTGTATGAATGTTATTTTCTATTTTATGGTGCGTTGCGGTCTGCTTGTTTGGTATACAAACCCAGTATGTCTGAAATAAATGATTCGCATAGTGGAGGCTGTTGTTGGCATTTTGGACTCAGCTGGACGGGGCTAGGCGAGTAACGGACCAATAGGACGCTAGGCTGATCAGACCGGTCGGACGTCATCGGTTTAGTACAGTATAAGAACGAATAAGTCGTATTTTGATTGGCGAATAGATTGCGTGATAACTAGCGGGCCGTAAAGACGCAACATCATATTCATACGTCCTTTCATATTGCAGTCAGATCAATGGGCCATTAAAAGTTTACAGTTAGATAAACAATTTCATTACTCACATAGAACACAACTACAAATGAAACATATCACCAGATACTCTATGAGGCATTGAACTATGAACCTATAACGTAATTTACCGGTTGATATAAGAATATTTGTCTACCAGGAGCCGATCTAGGAAAAGTGAATACTAGGAAAATATCGCCTTAGAAATTAAAAAAACGAACCTTTGCAAAATAAATATAGGCGAGTTGTTTTTTGATGGAGTTTTGTTCTCTGAGCTGGATGGCTTGGTCGTGGAGCTTTCATCGTTCTTCTGAACGACATCATCAGCACAAACTTCAGATAGAAGTGAAGTGTTCGAATTTCTCCATATGCGTTTCACAGGCGAGTTGTACAGCTTTTTTCATTACAAAAGCTATGACAATGATAAACTAATAAGCGCGCTTAAACAGGAAACTATAATAGTTTAAATTTCAAACTGCATGTTAATATGAACAACAGAATCTTTTTCTTAGCTCAAATTATACTTACACGCTTTGACTCCAGATATTTCATACCACTAGCAACCTGACATCCAAAATTTAAGAGTTTCGAAGATAAATTGTCACAACTCAACCAAAATTCCCGATGACGACGTAGATACTCTTTAAGATTCCCGTAAGGAGCATATTCCATTATTAAAAGTGGTGAGCCTACAGTATAAAACCACTGATATTTACTAGCTGTATGCAAAAGCACAAAACCTGTAAAATATATATCTAAACTTATAAAAAGTCATCAAAACAAACAGAACCTTGATAGTTTAACAAATCTTGACAAAAAAAGACATCGACCCTGGGGAGACTGGTATCATACCACAACCTGAATGTGCTGCTCAATAAAAATTTTATTGTAAATGCTTTCAGATCATGCATAACTGATATAACTGAGTTGAAGATATTCCAAAGCAATCATTTTTTTGTTTCCCAATAGTTTTCGATTTTATGGTTTGATTTAATTCAGCAAAGTCGATAGCTAATTATTAAGTTAATATCGTAAAACCTGTAATATTAGTACGTATCACCTGTACAAACTTTGGGATGATCCGTCCCAAAGTAGTGGTGGCTTCTCATGCTAGTCACGCAGTAATTTCCTAATAGAATTTAGGTGTAATTTATTCATGTTACCTTAGGTTGTGATAGTCAAGACTGATAAATTTATTGCCGGTTCCTGATGTCTTATAGACAATAATAGCACCGTGTATTCGGTATGTTATTAAGTCACTGAAATGTGGTAGGATTGGTTGTAACTATAAATTCGGCAGCTTTAATAAAATGAATATTGAACCAAAAGCTCTGACTAAATGATCTTAGCAAGAGAGATACAATTTGTGGGCAAGGTGGAAAAACAGCTTTTACTAAACAAAATACTTTTTGCACATGATTGGATAGCATATGAATACTAAAGCAGCCACATTTTCTCACACTAATCGATTTGGTCTGTATGCCGTGTTTCACTAGACTATGTATATATACAGGGCATGAATAGCATTCTCAGTGTGTCACATATAAAGAGGCTCGACAATATCAAATGGTCATTTTCGGGAGAACAAAAATGAGTCAACAAAGGCTTGCTTAGTCAATCAATTTGCTGAAAAGTAGGATTTTATCACGTGCAGTTCGAAGTCAGTATTCTTTTTGTGAAGACATCATATCTTTTCATCCATATTATCAGTGTGATCAGTTTTTGCACAATCCAGCTACTAGAAAACACCAATGTAACCCGTGTCTTGGTCCAACTGTAAAAACAGAATATACTGGAGAGCATTAACATTACTAATTAGTTTAAATGTAATGAATATTCTAACTATCCTACTTTTTTACCCAATCCACATACATGCTGATGAATTTTATAACCGATTAGAACAACGTCATCATCCAATCGGACGATCAATGGAATGACAGAAACATTCAGTAGTACAAAAAGGTAATATTGATATTATGAAGAGCGTATAGTATATAGGCTAACCATTTTCCGTACAAACTCCATACAACTCAATGATATGCTTATGACGCAACTGTTTCATAATATTCACTTCCATCAAGAATTCAGACACATGTTCTTCTGTGAAATCATCTATATGTAGTAAAACAAATTACAAAGCATTTAAATAATTGTATATTTTAAGAGGATAATTGTAAAAATTGAAGGGGATTTACTGGAACTACATATTTCATGGTAATTTTAATCAATCTTAATAGGACTATAGTGTTGTACATCGGAAACACTTTCAATATCTCTGAACACGGAATCTTTAGTATATAACTTTACAATCCATTATTTCTAATCTTGTTAAAGCATCAATGACAAATCTAGACAGATTCAAATGCGGTGGTATATTGGTTTTATGGCATCAGGAACTCAAAATAAAACAAATCCAAAATGAAACAAATATAAAGGCGAAAGCGGTCATAAATTGTGTTGTTTCTTGGCCTGTTTATTACATGATAAGATCACTAATTAGAACACCGTGATTTTTTTACCTTAGCACTATGCCAAAATAATGACGCGTTAGCCAATATGAGCAGCCTCAGGTCAACTTTGAGTCCTTATTGTGTCCCTTCTCGCCTAGCCCTATCTGTTCGAGTCCAGAACACAAACTTCAGCTCCCACCATATGAATCATGCATTTCAGACATACGCAATTCATATACAAGCAAATAAGACCTAAACACGCCATAAAATAAAAAGTAACAGTCATACAAGATCAAGTCAAAAGTGTCTATGATTGTGAGGTAGGTGGCTTGCTTGAATATCTGGGCTACCTGTTCTTACTATTTAGATGTTTCAACAAGTTATTTGTTTCTGTTTGTTTTAACACATCATTATGTCCACTATTCGCATAGCCTATTCAGGCCCGTCTGTTGAAAGTTTACGACATTTCGCTGTACAATTTATAAGAAAGTACAATCAGCGGCGTCGTGGTTGTCGGTAATCTGAATTGAAAAGAATGAACATTATTCAGATGTTGATTCCTGAAACTGCTTATATATAACTGGCGATCACTCAATAATAATCACCAGAATCGATCAAGAAATAAGAAAAGGAAACTTGTTGAGATACTTTGTGCTGAGGATTCTACATTGTACCAAAAATATTATGAATAAAGCCATTAATAATAATAATAATGATAATAACTAATAGATTGAGGATAAATTAAGAATAATGAATCGTATAATAGTCGATAGGTCAAATTAAAGCTTATAATAAAAGGAATATGAATATACATAATATAGTTATGCTTGATAGTTATCCAATAGGAATATATGTAATAACAATCCATAAATAATTACTAGTCGTTATATTCGTTTATTCTTCGTTAAGATATAACAAACGGTTTGAAAGAGAATGGGTAACTTTTAAAATTAGAAGTTACTGCACTCGGCCCGAATTTGTAGACTGTGAAAAATGTACATATTTATGCTTACATGTTATTCTAAAGACTGAGAAGTATTGGACAAATGATGGGATTACGCTTAATCCTGATAAATAAAGTGATTGGTGATGAGTACATGTTGTAATGAATGATAGTAAGAGGGAAATGTAGGTATTTTTATTTGATATGTATTAAACAGGGTAAATACATTTTGAATTACACTGGTAATTATTCCAGTTAATTTACTTTCGTGATATTCTATTTTGTAATAGTGAGGTTTAAGTGATTTAATTGAATTTTTCAATGCTGATAGATGAAATTACTTCGACTTTTCATACCTAGATACTTTTAAACGATGGCCTAACAAATAAAAAATTCTCAACCATTAACTATAAAATTCCCACAGATTGAAATCATGAGTCAGTTGAAGCTAGACCACCATGGAAAACCTGGAAGCACTGGACGGCCGTTTCAGGAGTCCCATACCAGGACGAAACGGCCGTCCAGTGCTTCCAGGTTTTCCATGGTGGTCTAGCTCCAACTGACTCATGATTTCAATCTGTGAAAATTTCTAAAACTCTCCACAAAACCCATTCTGATAATATAAAATTCCATTTATCCATCGACATTTTAGTTGTCATACAACTCTCTTGATTGTAATTGGTCAGCAAACTAAATTGATGAAGGTTTCAATGAAGATGATATAGAAAAAAACATCACTAAAAGTTTACTAACGGATAAAAATCACTCTAACTCTGGTACGGGTCATCGGTGCATATTTCATTAGGATCAGGCGGAAAACCAGTGTACACTATTTTTCAATAGTAACTCTAACCGACATCAGTCCGTTAAACAAATCCCCTACAAACCTAACAATTAGTTAGCCATGTAATAATTTCCATTTATATGAGTTATTAATTAAAAGATATATTAATTAGACCATGTGGTATCGCCGTCGTTGGTGGAATGACTTTATCGATGGTATATGTCACAGTTGTAGTCCAGATTCGCTTTCAATCTCAATAGTAGAAAGAAAACACGGGAACATTTTTAACAAAATAAAAATAAACACAAACCTTTTAAAGTTTTAACAGCAACATCGATTTTCTCATTAGGGTTAACACAATTTGGTAAATTTTCTGCAACACCTCTATAAACAATACCAAAAGCACCTGAACCTAATCGACATGTTAATTGAAGATTTTTACGTGAGAACTCATAATGTTCATCTTTTTCGAGTTGATAATTGGATAAGAATAGTTTATCTAATTCTTTTAAACGTTGTATATCTTCTTCATGTGTGAACCTATTATAAAATTGTTGTTGACTTGGTGAAGTTACGTAACGATTAGTAGTATATCGTTCTTTAATTTTATTTATAAATTTCGGTGGACGACGGGTGACAATAGTGTTTATATTAATCACAGGTTTATTAATCGGGTCTAACATTAAACTTGTAGTATTTTCAAATGAATTATTATCCGAATTATTGTTATTTGATACTTGTGCATCACCTGTAGTAAACTCATAGTACTCTATAGAACGTCCAATACTTATCAACTTATATGTAATAATTTCAGATTTTCGTCTCCATAGCCAAACCAGTTGAAGAATCAATGAGATAAAGACGAACAATAGGAAATATGGGAGTAATCGAACAATCCAGTTGATTAATGCTACGGGGGGAGGAGGAGTAAAATGAATATAGAAATATAAATGGATTAAGTTAATTGAAAACTATCGATAATTGTATCCAGAGAGAAAAAACATGTCCGAAACATGTTAACCGATTTCAGAAAGCATTATAGAAGTAATTGGAATTCAGTAACAAAATACAAGTTCACGTGCTAGGCGGTCATGATGTCATGACTAGAAATAAGCTGTCGGGAAATGGAGATAAACCAAGCACAACTCCATAGAATAACTGTTAAGAACTTAGATGAATAAACTGCAATGTTATCCCTACCTTAATGCTTGACCACAGGCGAAAGTAACAAACAAAGCATAATATCATACCAGCCAGTTAAACTATCTTATAATCAATAAGATGACTCAATCATACACTAACATGGAGTCTTTAAGATCAAAATGTGTGCGGCTAAATCACACTTAGCTAAGCTACTAGATCCGTGATAAGATGATAGATTCTAAATTCTAGACCAAGTGAATTTAAATCGTACTTGAATGGCCGTTTTTGTTGCGCTAGGAATGAAACGAAAATGGATCATGAATTAAGAACTAACCAGTACAGATCAGTTAAATAGATTGTAAACCTGTTGAAACAAGATCAAGGTCACAAAAACTGATCATGAAACTTAGACAACAAGAAAGTTGAGATAGCGTGGGCGTTGAGAATTGAGATTCGGAAATTGGATGGGGAGATGTATTGGATGGATGGCTTTAAATGAGTCATCCAGTCCTAAGGCCAGTCTGTGAGAAAGTAAGTTAGAGCATACATATAGTTTTAAATAAAAGTTAGGACTAATTTTCCGTTTATTACTCCAACATAAAATCAGTCTCCAGCCCATATAGCGTAGCTGATTGGTGACTGAAACAACTAGGTAACATTAAAAACGGATCTATTGGACTCGATTAACACCAAGTAATCAACAATGGGATACTGTATGTTTACCAGTAATCATGTAGAATAATCAATTTAGTTCTAACAGTAGACCTAGCAATGATCTGGATAGTTCAGGGGTCGTATTACTAAGATACTGAGTTCCCCTTAGTTAGAATCCCACCGATAAAAGCTGTTGTGAAGTTTCGCACTTGAAACGGCTATTTTTATAAATAATAATGATACCATTGTCCATACATTAAAAGATTCTGGGAGGTAAACCAGTTACATTCAAAAATGTATCCTATATAGATTATATTTAACAGTGCATCCTTCATTCCAAATGAAATTTATAGCCAAATCCACCTAAACTGATTCAATCGATTAACCGACTTCCTCTTTCAGAGAACCCGTAATTGTGCTTCCGAAATCCAATACAATTATCAAAAATATGAATTTCATCTAATTGTTACCAATGTATAAATCCAGACAAATTCAGACAAAGTTATGTGACTATTAATAGTTTAAAGATAACTCCACGACTTAAAAATAGCTCGTGAATGATGAGTCTGCCAAAATGAAATATACATAGTGAAGATAAAACAAATTAGGTCACTGACATTCACTAACTGTATATATCAAAGTGCAATTTTCGTCCCAATAGAATTTCAGAAAGGAATAAAATACATAGGAATCAATACATAGTATAAACAAATGAGTTAGGTGATAATAATTTGTAATCTGCGTTGAAAATGAAATTGATTTGAAGCAATCATCAAGATATAACTCCGCCTGTAGCTCTTCTAGAGTTACTGCCGGTCCCAAGCCCAGGTAAAGGAGGAGGGTTGGTCATGGGGTTAGCGTCCCCATCCCGTAGAAAACTAACTCGCTAAAAAAACGCTTATCAGGAAAAATAATTCAAACCATTTTAACTCTGCCCTGAGAGTTAGAAGGTCTTCATTTAGAAGAATTATGACGCTTCATGGTGAAAGCCGAATTCCTTCGGAAGCCACGAGGCCGATGCCCCTTCTAACAACCAGAGCAAAAATTTTTATAGGTACATGGAACGTTCGAACAATGTGGGAAACCGGGAAGACCAGCCAAATAGCAACGGAAATGAGGAGATACAACTTGGCAGTACTGGGAATCAGCGAAACCCACTGGACCCAAGCTGGACAGAAAAGGCTAGCTACGGGAGAGATGCTGCTATACTCCGGTCACGAAGAGGAAAATGCTCCACACACTCAGGGAGTTGCTCTAATGCTGTCCAAAGTAGCACGAACTGCACTTGTAGGATGGGAATCCCACGGATCCAGAATCATCAAAGCATCATTCAAAACAAAGAAGGAGGGGATCTTAATGAATATTATCCAATGTTATGCACCCACCAATGATAGCAACGACGACATTAAAGATCAATTCTACGAGCGGCTGCAGTCAATCATAGAGAAATGCTCAAGAAAGGACCTCACCATTCTGATGGGAGATCTAAATGCCAAGGTCGGAATAGACAACACTGGATATGAAGATATTATGGGACGACATGGACTGGGAGAGAGGAACGAAAATGGAGAAAGATTTGCAAATTTGTGTGCATTCAACAAATTAGTCATAGGAGGCACAATATTTCCACACAAACGTATACACAAGGCTACATGGATCTCACCGGACCACACTACAGAGAACCAGATAGACCATATTTGCATCAACAAAAAATTCCGAAGGACAATGGAAGATGTGGGAACCAGGAGAGGAGCTGACGTAGCTTCAGACCACCACCTAGTTGTAGCCAATTTAAAACTGAAGCTAAAAAAGTACTGGACAAGTGGACAAACAGCACTACAAAGGTTCAATACAGCCTTCCTTCGAGATACTGACAAACTCAATGAATTCAAGATAGCTCTCAACAACAGGTTCCAAGCCTTTCAAGCTCTACTGAAGGAAGAAGAAACTACCATGGAGGACAACTGGAAAGGCATCAAAGAAACATTGACTTCAACGTGTCAAGAGGTTCTGGGCCTAAAGAAACACCATCATAAGGAATGGATCTCTATAGAAACACTGGACAAGATCAAAGAAAGGAAGAACAAGAAGACAGCAATTAACAACAGCCGAACACGAGCAGAGAAAGTCCAAGCACAAGCTGAATACATAGAAGCAAACAAGCAAGTGAAGAGGAGCATTAGAGCCGACAGGAAGAAATACGTGGAAGAATTAGCAACGACGGCAGAAAAAGCTGCTAGAGGAAATATGAAACAGCTTTACGATACAACGAAGAAACTATCAGGGAAATACAGTAAACCAGAGAGGCCTGTCAAAGACAAAGAAGGCAAGCCAATCACTGAAATTCAACAACAGCGAAACAGATGGGTAGAATACTTCGAGGAACTCCTGAATAGGCCGGCTCCAATGAATCCACCGAACATCGAAGCAGCACACACAGATCTTCCTATAGATGTCAACCCACCAACGACGGAAGAAATTAGAATGGCCGTCAGACAAATCAAGAACGGGAAAGCAGCAGGACCCGACAACATACCAGCTGAAGCACTGAAATCAGACGTCGAAGTAACCACAAGCATGCTTTACCCTCTATTCAAAAAGATTTGGGAGTAGGAACAAGTGCCAATGGACTGGAAAGAAGGACACCTCATCAAGATTCCAAAGAAAGGAGATCTGAGCAAATGTGAAAACTACAGAGGCATTACACTACTGTCAATACCAGGGAAAGTCTTCAACAGAGTGTTGCTGAACCGGATGAAGGATGCAGTAGATGCCCAACTTCGAGATCAACAAGCTGGATTCCGAAAGGATCGGTCGTGCACAGACCAAATTGCAACACTACGGATCATCGTCGAACAATCAGTTGAGTGGAACTCGTCACTATACATCAACCTCATTGATTATGAAAAGGCATTCGACAGTGTAGATAGGAGGACATTATGGAAACTTCTTCGACACTACGGAGTTCCTGAGAAGATTGTCAATATTATCCGGAACTCATACGACGGACTACAGTGCAAAGTAGTGCATGGAGGACAGCTGACAGATGCATTCCAAGTAAGGACCGGAGTCAGACAAGGCTGTTTACTCTCTCCCTTCCTCTTTCTTCTGGTGGTCGACTGGATTATGAAGACCTCGACATCTGAAGGAAAACACCGAATACAATGGACAGCTCAGAACCAATTAGACGATCTGGACTTCGCAGATGACCTAGCCCTCCTATCACGTACACGTGAACAGATTCAGATAAAGACAGCCAATGTAGCAGCAGTCTCTGCATCAGTAGGCCTCAGTATACACAAAGGGAAAACCAAGGTCCTCAAATTCAAAGCGGAGAACAGCAATCCAATCACCCTTGATGGCGAAACTCTGGAAGATGTAGAATCCTTCACATATCTGGGAAGCATCGTCGATAGACAAGGAGGTTCAGATGCAGACGTAAAGGCGAGGATTGGCAAAGCAAGGGCCACATTCCTACAATTGAAGAACATATGGAACTCAAAACAACTTTCAACCAATATCAAAGTAAGAATCTTCAATACGAACGTCAAGGCAATTCTACTGTATGGAGCTGAAACTTGGAGAACTACAACAACCACAATCAAGAAAGTACAAGTATTTATAAATAGCTGTCTACGCAAGATACTCAACATCCATTGGCCGGATACCATCAGCAATAGCCTTCTGTGGGAGAGAACAAACCAACTTCCAGCTGAAGAGGAAATTAGGAAAAGACGATGGAAATGGATAGGACATACATTACGCAAATCGTCAAACTGCATCACGAGGTAAGCTCTAACTTGGAATCCTGAAGGGAAGCGGAAAAGAGGAAGGCCAAAGAACACATTACGTCGGATAATAGAAGCAGATATGAAAAGGATGAATTACAACTGGAAGGAGCTGGAAAGGATTGCCCAGGACAGGGTTGGATGGAGAATGCTGGTGAGCGACCTATGCTCCTTCACGCGGAATAACAGGTGTAAGTAAGTAAGTAAGTAATCATCGAGATATATAGCTTATGTAGTTAGGACTGAAAAACACCATGAAGTCGACAATGATGTAGTAGATGAGTCCTCCATCTTTCTTCTCTGTTCTAACTTAATATGTTTATTC